TCGCAAATAAACTTTTTCGTTCTCCGACAATTTCTCGGCTCAAAAATTATCCGCGTATCTCTTATATGTTGACAAGGTTTAAAAATCCATTCAATAGAGAGTCCCTGAAATATTTTCATCCATTCAAGAAACACGGTTCAGAAGATCTCATGATTCATTACATAGTTGCTTCCAATATACTGGTTTTTTTGTTTTGGAAACTTGCCGAAATGAATGCTATTGAATACAGAAATCCTACTTATTTAAATTTTCTATCAAGGAATTTTGTTGTCAGTATTGAGAACGTGAAGGATGGGAGGTGGTGGAATGTTGTAACTTGCGCTTTTAGTCATAAGGACTTGGATCATTTGATTGTGAATATGTTCGTTTTATGGGGATTTGGTAGACAGGTGAGTATAAAATTTTTATTTATTCTTAATCATGATTAACAATCTTTAATTCATTTTATGTTTGTAACTCTCATTTTAAAGATTCTTGAAATGTTGGGTAGAAGACAATTCTTGTTCATTTATTTTGGATCCGCTTTATCAGCTTCCCTAAGTTATCTATTATATACTAATCATACTCGTAAAAGAAAATCATCCGCCTCGTATAATGAAAAAGTTTATAGAAGGCACTACATTGGAAGCATGGGCGCTTCAGGTAAATCAAATAGTATTTCCTCATTTATTCTCTATTCTCATATCACGTCATAACTATTAATTATCTCGTTTATCAGGAAGCTTAATGGCATTATCTACAATATTTGCTTGCACATTTCCAAATGCAACATTTCTTGTATTTTTTGTAATTCCTGCACCTGCAATTGTGGTTGTAGGTTTATACGCTCTTTATGACATTTATAGAGCTTGGACTGTATCACATGGTAAAATAGATAGCGCAGGTCATCTCGGTGGTGTAGCTTTCGGATTGTTATATTATTTCACTAAAATCAAACCTAGAGCTAGAAACTATACAAAGCTTTGGAGAGGAAGATTCTAAATATCTGTATGTGTTAAAACAGTAAGAGTTAAATACTGTATATATATATATATATATATATAAAATAAAGATAAATTGTAATAAGAAACCTACTTTGTATTATATAAAGATATATTGTATATAAGTATAATTCTGTAATTGATTCACATGGTAAAGATTTTAATATTCTCTATATAAGCTTATACTGTAATCAAATTTCGGCATTTAAATTCTTCTTATAACGATAACAGATACGTAACAGATAATGACAATTTATTTTACTAAATCTTTATATAACAGATAATACTGTAATAAAATATTCACTTGTAATCAAGTCAAATTTGTGCAATAATTACAATTTTTTGATTTTTGGTGATAAAAATGGGACCAACCAAATTCAAGTTTGTGATTATAAACTATTTTAACTTTTGTGATTTCTTATCGAATTTAGAAAAAGTTTCGGTCATCATTTTAACACAACTTTCGTAGTTACCTATAAAACGTTTATTACAACTTTCATTTCTTTTCATATTATACGATGAATATGGAAGAGACTGAGGATAGTCTATACCCAATTGCGGTGCTATTGGATGAATTAAGAGCTGATGATGTCAACTTTCGATTAAACGCCATCAGGCGACTTTCGACCATTGCCTTGGCTTTGGGAGTTCAAAGAACCAGAGATGAACTTATACCATTTCTTGACGGTTAGTAATGACCAACTCTTTCGTGGTACGCGATACTGTTTTTATCGTGCCCAGGGTAATCGCTTCTAGAGACTAAGCATAAAGATTTTCTCTTCAGAGTAATTGCGGGGCATCGCGAAATCTTTATTTATTAACGTTCATCTTTAAAATATATTTAATGTTTTACATTTAGAATATATTGATTATTTTTTAGTGATCCTTTTCTTTTAAAAAAAATTTCTACTTTAGAATCAATCGATGATGAAGATGAAGTATTACTGGCATTAGCTGAAGAGCTTGGTAATTTCTGTGAATATGTTGGTGGCAAAGAGCATGCGCATATTATACTAGGACCTTTGGAAAATCTTGCAGCGGTTGAGGAAACTCTTGTTAGAGAAAAAGTATGCATAGGCTCGTATAATTCACTCTCTATCGCGACTGTATTAACTTTATTAAATGATTTGGCAACAATAAATTTTAGGCCGTTGAATCTCTAACAAAAATAGCAGTGGTCCTTTCTCAGCAACAAATTGAAGAATACTACATACCACTTATTAAACGTTTGGGCACTGGTGATTGGTTTACAAGTCGTACTAGCGCTTGCGGTTTATACGCGGCTGGATACCAAAGTGCAACACCAAGTTCACAGGAAGAGCTGCGATTGATGTTCAAAGCATTAGCCCAAGATGATACACCGATGGTTCGAAGGGCAGCAGCAGCTAACCTAGGAGTAAGATTTTGTACCTTTTTTTTTTTTTTTAATTTATTGTATTTTACAATAATTAGAAATAACTTTGTGCTATGGTACATGTAGAAATTTGCAAAAAAGATTCCTAAAGAACATGTAATTTTAGATATTATCCCATTATTTAGTAAACTTGCGGAAGATGAGCAGGATTCCGTTCGTTTGCTAACGGTAGAGGATCTTGTCGCAATTGCTGAGGTGCTCTCTAAGGAGGAGTGCAAAAATTATCTCTTACAAACTCTGAGAAGCATGGTCTCAGATAAGAGTTGGAGAGTTAGATATATGATTGCTGAAAATTTTGTCAAGGTTGTTATTTATTTATATGCAATATGTTGCAAATTAGTTTTTTTTTTTTTTTTGTTATGCATACGAAATTATGTTCTTAATATTATTCACATAATAGATTGCTAAAGCTGTAGGAAATGAAGTAACGCGTGAAAACTTAGTGATGGCCTTTGTTAATTTGCTCAAAGATAATGAAGCCGAAGTAAGAACTGCTGCTTCCGGTCAGGTTCCGGGTAAATACGAATTTATAATACGAACTTTTTTTTATTTTAAACACGTTATCATGATAATCTCTGATAATAAAATCTTTTTAGGATTCGCTCAATATATCGATAAACAAACGATTTTGTCGCATATATTGCCGTGTGTCAAAGATCTGGTAACCGATACATCACAGCACGTTCGTGCAAGTTTAGCAACCCAAATTAGTGGGCTGGCACCTATTTTGGGCAAAGAAGCGTATGTTCTATTTCCATATTAAATCTGAAAGTTTTTGTTCATACATTGCTAATGTTATTTTCATTATTTAGAACGACAGAACATTTGCTGCCTCTGTTTTTGCAACTTCTCAAAGATGAGTTCCCTGATGTAAGGCTGAATATTATATCCAAATTGGAGCAGGTTAACGAAGGTAATTTATCGTCATCAAAATTTCACTTATGTTACATTTATTCTTAATACATTATTTTATTTTATTTCATTTTACTTTATTATTTGTTTTTATTTAATATCTTTAATAATAAACAGTTATCGGCATTGAGCTTTTGTCACAAAATCTACTTCCGGCAATAGTTGAATTGGCAGAAGATAAACAATGGCGTGTTCGGCTTGCAATCATTGATTATATTCCTCTACTTGCTAGTCAGTTGGGTGTGGCATTCTTTGATGAAAAACTTGGAAGCCTTTGCATGTCCTGGTTAGGAGATAACGTATATTCTATTCGTGAAGCTGCTACCATAAATTTGAAAAAATTGACAGAAGTCTTTGGTGTCGAATGGGCAAAGACCACAATTATACCAAAAGTACTGGAAATGGGTACTAATCAAAATTATTTATATAGAATGACGACAATTTTTGCCATTACGGTCAGTATTACAATTTGTTAGGAAAAAGTCTTTGATTCTAAATTAGCAAATTGCTTATATACATTCCTTAACGTTAGACCATGGCACCAGCTGTCACTCCGGAAGTCATCAGAGACCACATTCTTCCAACAGTGAACAATCTTGTTTCGGATCCTATTCCCAACATTCGGTTTAATGTTGCTAAATCATACGAAGTTTTAATACCAGTTCTCAAACAATGCTCTGAGACGGCTGTGTTGTTGGAAACTCAAGTAAAACCAGCATTAGATAAATTACGGGATGATCCAGATAATGATGTCAAATACTTTGCTGAAAAAGCACTACTTGCTGGTAAGTAATTATATAAAACAGGTTCATAATATTCTGATTTTATTTATTATTTATATATTACCATTTCACTATGATTTTATATAGGCTATCCATAATTGGGGATGGTAAAGTTAGTTAGGTTTGGTTTAGGTTCTAAAACCTTTAGGTTCCAATTAAAAACCTAAGAACCAGGTTTTTATATAATAAATTCCAAACCTAAGTTAAATCTAGTTTGGATCCGAACAAAAATTTAAAACCTGGTTCTCAATATTTTGTGAGACATAAAAAATAAAAATATATTAATAAAAAGTTACTTAATTCATACCAAACTTTTAGAATATATATATTTTGATCTTCTGAATAACTTAATATACTATATTGATTTATTTAATAAAATTTTGACTTTTATAAGGTAAAGGGGGGTAATATAACGGGTGGATAAAGTGGCAGATCGCATAATATTGAGGTCTATCAAATAGTTTAATGATTCTTATTCACCAAGATGAATCGGATATAAAAAGCATTCGTTTATAATCACTGGATTACCAAATAACATAAATGAATTTCTTATTCGTATAGAGAGCTAATACTTTAATTTATGTCAAAATCTCCAGGTGGGGTTCCGCATGGGCCGGGCTGGGTTGGATATTTCGAAATCCAGATCCAGCCCATACATATTTGAATGGACAAACCCAACCCCAGCCCATGACCGCATAGTACAATCCATGGATCCAAATTGCATATACTGTAAAAAGCTTATTTATTAAAGTAAGCTTGAGTTCGTAATTTGACGTCAAAATGATAAGGATAACTATGATGGCATTTATAATTTTGTCCAATCAGATTAAATATAGACTATCCATGGGCTTTTGGATCTGGGTCCAATGTGTTGAGACCAAGCTCGGCCCATGCGGTACCAATCCATGGATGCTCCATGGATAGCCCAGCCCATGCGGAACCCTATCTCCAGGGCGACCACGAGTTTGCAACGACTGATTTTATACTATTTGCCGGTTCAGTAAAAGGCTATCGTACAAATCACATAATCCTGGTTTTCGGTGGTCATTCATATGATTGGCTAATTTATATGTTCAAAAAAAATTCCATTTTCAAAGCTGTACGACGTACGTACGTCACAATTTTAAGAAGTAATAGGTTAGTGATGTCCAAAAAATTTTACCATTTCGTGTAACCCGAGCTTCCGGGCCTCGATCGGCTGGTTCGGATTTGGACTTCGGATTGGACCTACGAAGTGCTAATACAAGCATAATGTAAGCTAGCTAATATTATGCAAAATTACGATCTGAGCAACTTAGCTAAAAGTTGGTAATTTTCGGGCATAATTAATTGGGTCCGGAGGCCGGGTTACACGAAATGGTAAAATTTTTTGGACATCACTAACCTACTATTTAAGAAACGTCCTAACCCTTAGTTCACATTATTTAATCGAAAAAGTTGTATTAAAATATAATTAATAAATTCCAAATCCGCTTAAATTCCGTTCCATTCATGTACGTACGTACAACATATCCGACATACAAACAAGTTCAAACAGTGTTAATTGTACGTAATACGTTTTCGAATCTAAAGGTAGATGGTCTCTGGGCATAATAAGTTTCACCAAAAAATTATTGATTACTAATCATCGGTAAAGGCCTAGCGTTAGTGAACAAACTACCAAAAAGAGGAAGATTCGCTACTCCCGTGGTGTATTCCGAAACTCATGCCTAATAAGCTAGTTTACGCCTAAGGTGAATGAATCTCAAAAACTTGGTACGTATACATTTGACGTAGTGTGTCCGCAATAGGGAACTTAAGAACAAAACGCGATTATTTTCAACCACGCGCAATTCATGCACAGTGTCACTATCTGTTCTAAACACATGATTGCAATTACTACAATTCGAGAATAATTGCATGCTATGCTAAATTGAAT